ACAACTCCTTCAATATCTGACTGCAATACTTCATCTGTTCAGACATTTTGCCCTTTTTAGGCTTCGAGACGTGTTGTGCGGTGTCGGGCAAGTCCTTCGACGGCTTCTTTATGGGTCGTCCGCTCTCACGACGCGTCGACATCTTTGACGGCTTTGAGGACTCACTGGTGGGCGACGTATACACAGAGATACCGGAGTCTAAGAGTGTCGTTGTGTCCGCTTTCCGTTTCACGCCTTTCTTCGACTTCTGGGGCGCCGACGAGTGAATGGCGACCGAAGGACCGCTGTTTCGGTACGAACTGTTGGTTAGAGTCGGCGTTGCGTTGGATGTCATACACGCCATGCCGTCGGCGAACCCGCGCTGTAATGAAGGAGTGGTGACCGAAGTGTGGACACCGGCTGTAAGCGTGAAGAGGTGGTGAGGTTTGAGACACAGACGCGCGGGTGATGTCGGGTAGTGGTGTTGTATGGATGAGGGTTAGGACACAAACGGGTCACACATTAATGCAATTTATCATTAGATATACGAAACAAAACCATTCATACGATTAGTTAAACACTATTTTAAATGCAATTCTAATTGCGTTTCAATTAAACTGTCATTTGTTTTGTAAAACACATTAAGCCTTACATTGAGTTTCATTGGAAACGCATTACAAATAAAGACAAATAAATGACCGAAATATGAATTAATATACAAAGAGTGCATCAAATGAATGGTAAGTAAAGAGAGATAATGTGTTGAGAGTGTGATTGCAATGGTTTAGCAGAAGTGAATGCCTATCGCCTGAACCCCTATTCCGGCCAAACGTTTGCATAGCGTTTGACACTTGAATTTAAAACAAATTCAATTCATTTAGTTATTGAAAAAAACAATTGAAATCTTTTAATTTAATTAAATTAATTGGACATAAAATTAGTTACAATTAAAACTATGTCAATATTTTCAGAGCCCTGTTGTGTAGATGTTTTGTAAGTTTTGTAAGTTTTGTAAGATATATGTAAGACATTAGTTGTCTACAAAAAGTTGATACAATGATCGGAACATCTCTTTTGATTGTCATGTAATTTGAATAGAGTTTTGATCACATAATCACATGATCTCTCGTTTGGACGAAACCAATAGTCAATCCATTTGAAGATAGAAAGAGGATATGAACTCTGAATGCATTCAATCATTGAATTTCAATGAATTGGTTATTAGTGTTGAATGAATGGATGGGTTGACCACTAAACACAAGTACACACTCTTTGCTCTCATCCCAAATGGTAGCTCTTTTTCCATTTATAATTATCACTATTTGAGCCATACTTTGAACCAATTTATTGAAGCGCTTTATCTAGTGATGAGAATCGCGACCAGACTTACCACTCTCTCCATCTGCATCTATAAACCAATTAATTGAAATTATTTATTACAATTTAAACATTTCATTTCAAAACCATTCATTTCATTACATATTCTCTACTCATTTGAATATACTTTTTAATTTAACATTTTCTATATATCTCAATGATATTCAATTAAAATGTAATGATAATTGATTTGAATATATTAATTGTTGAAATTCTTGTGACCGACTGGACGTCACATCAAATCATCATACGGTATGATTTATAGCAATCTTACTGTTATTCAACTTTATCAACAACAGTTACTGCTTGTATTAATTAATGTAAAAATTATTAGAATTTCTGTCTAGGTTATTTTTAACATGGTTATATGTTAATAAAAATTAATCTCATAATAAATCGTTATATGTTAAATGTACAGGGTGTACATTATTCTACTATAACATTTCAAAGTCGAATATCTCGAAAGGTATTCGGTCTAGAAAATTAAATAATATATCAAAATAGTCATCAACTGCGGGAGTTTTTGTTATGATATGATCAATATGCTTGACCTCTTATTATAGAAGTAATCTCAAAACTACCAAATTTTTGCCATTTTGTCTATAGTCTCGCGAGTGGTCCATTTTCACAATAATATAGTCACGTGACCAAAAAATTTGTATGTTTAAATAATTTCCGGACATGGAACTATATATGTGTGAAGTGACAATATTGTCACTTCAGCTGTTCCCAAATGGTGATCAAAATCCGACACGCAAAAGTTTTACAACAACCGTAAATATCTGAAATATTGAAAAATCATTAATTAACTAAAAACTTCATGCAGCACAATAATTTTGATTACATATTCTTAAACAGGAGCAAAAATAACTTGATACCTATTTCAGGATTTTGCTCAAAAATAAGTTTGAATTTAACATTCCAAATTTTTGCCATTTTGTCCATAGACATAATGTTAAATTCAAACTTATTTTTGAGCAAAATCCTGAAATAGGTATCAAGTTATTTTTGCTCCTATTTAAGATTATGTAACCAAAATTATTGTGCTGTATGTAATTTTTAGTTAATTAATTATTTTTCAATATTTCAGATATATAATGTTGTTTTAAAACTTTTGCGTGTCGGATTTTGATCACCATTTGGGAACAGCTGAAGTGACAATATTGTCACTTCACACATATATAGTTCTATGACCGGTAATGTTTTGCACATACAAATATTTTTGGTCACGTGACAATATTAATGTGAAAATGAACCATTCGCGAGACTATGAACAAAATGGCAAAAATTTGGTAGTTTTGAGATTATTTCTATAATAGGAGGTCAAACATATTGACCGTATCATAACAAAAACTCCCGCAGTTGACGAGGATTTTGATATATTATTTAATTTTCTAGACCGAATACCTTTCGAGATATTCGAGTTTACTTTTGCGGAGTCCAATAATGTACACCCTGTACTTTCTTGCCTTCATTAACAAAAACAAGGTTCACACAGCAATACGTTAACCACAATTCGTGTATTGTTCAAAGAATAGATTAGAAATATTTTTAAAAAATTGCCCATAGAATTAAAATTATCCATATATTTAGCATTGCCCATGTTGAACCTATGTCTTAGACTTAAGCTGTAACCCCATAGAAACCCATGTTAAAGCATTCTCACATAAATTTAACATGGGTCCCATTTGATTAACATGGAGAAAAAGTACTCTTTCCTTCATATTTCACTTTCCCATAGAAAATAATCTCCCATAGGATTAAAATTACCCATAGGATAACATTAGTCCATGTTAATTTTATAGAAAAAGCTCCATAGGATTAGCATTAGCCATATTGCAGAATAGCCATAGACTTAAGCTGTAATCCCATGTTAAATTTCATAAGGTTGGGGGCCGAACGATCATATAAATCACATTATTCATAGGTGAATTGTTGTTAAAAACTTTCATAGTTATAATTTGTTCCAAAATACCTTATTGTTTGAATTTTTTAAATGTTCTAATATTATTGTATATATTTAATTGGTCTTAACATTAATTTTCCCCATAGACTTATCATTGCCATAGACTTATTATTATCCAAGTTAATCCTATGCCATAGTCTTATCATTACAGATATTTTTTAAAAATCAGCATTAGTCCTATAGAGTTAACATTACTCCCATAGACTTAACATTACCCATAGTATAAGCATAGACTTAGCTTTGCTTATGTTAAACTTGTGGTAACACTGTTAACTTTACAGTTTAAAGATTAGAAGTGAGATTTAAACACATTTGTGTTTTAAACTATGTATATTAACCATCTGTAACAAATTCAAGGACGGCCGCGGCCGGTCTGTGAAGAACGCTATTAATTATAATATTAAAACAAAAACAAATTAATTAAATAAATTATGACATTATAACTAATAATATTGTGAAAAGCAAAAATTAATTATTGCTATTGGTTAAAAAGTATTATATGATAATATACAGTACAATACAATATCAATAAAATCTTCAAACTAGTTGAATTGTTGTTGTAATTATAATTAATACTGATTAATTAATTATAAACAAATAATAAACAATTTTCAATATCTAATATTATTGTCAAACTTTTTTCTCTGTTGAAACAATCTGTTTGTTTGGTTATTATTAATAAATAATTTATTTAATACATATTGATTGATAGTATTATCATTAATATTGTTAATTAATCTGAATTTAAAATAATTTATGCAATACTTTTTACATGTACTAAACATGTATGACATAAAGTGGGTAAACATTATAACTGAAAACCCAAACCATAGGCTTATAATACTGGCCAAAAGGCACAGGTATTCATCAAACGAGAACTTTAACGATATCTCATAGACAGTAGTGGGCTCTGACGGGAACTTAATATTGCCGCTCCCAACTGTCCGCTCACGTCCTGCAGTCTCTTCTCGAGTTCCTGTTTCTTCTTCTCCTGTTCCTCCTTAGTCTTGGCAGCGGCTGCCAAAGCCAACGCCTGCTTGTTCTTCGTGTCTACAAACAGTACAGTACTTGAGTACACATCCATTCAAACACTATATAACCAACACTTACTGTAAGGCTTTCGGGGTTTCTTCCGCAAACAGGTCGCCACATATCTCTCCAACTCTCGCAGTGTTGACGGCTTTAATGTTTCAAAATCTATCTCTATTTGACCGGGATTTGTCCGAATAGAGTCTGGATCTCGAGATTGGATTATAATAATTACATTTTGTAATTTATCACCTAATCATACAAAGAGAGCAATGTTGTTAGAAACACAAAATTAGTATAAATGGCAAAATTGAAATACCCGGCAGTTTATTGATGTCAAGACTGAGCTGTCGTTTCTCGTCATAAGACATGGGTTTGGCGTTGTCTTCGTCTTCGCTGTCAAACACTGGCATTACTTTCGCGTTCTTTTTGTTAGCTTTACTATTAGTTCTCTGTCTCTTCGCGGGTGCGGTCGCGGCACTCGACTTGTGAGCAGAGTTTTGGGCCTTTGAGGCGCCGGACATGGCTTTAGAGGCCTTCGACGCCTTACCTGTTGGTATAGTTGTGTTAATTTCATGGTTTGGCGCCATATTAGAAGTGCCGGCATTTGAATATTACCGATAAGTGATATATTGCTTCCGCCGGCCATTAGTGAGGCCGACGTGCCGTCCACTATGTCTTCCTTCTCTTTCTTAATGTCCGACTTCGAGGACTCTTCCTTCTCCTTCTTGGAAGTGCTTTGAGTTTTTCTTTTCCTCATTTTAGCCTTCTTTTTGCCGCCTTCTTGTGCTAACATTGAGATCTGTTCCGTCACTTCCTTCAACCTCTTCAATAGCCTTATCTTATTCTCGTTTTCGCTCTCACTCTCACTGCTGGATGAGGTGGGAGTGGAACTACCGCTGGAACTGCTGCCGGAGCTGTCCGTATGGTCTGTAAGCGAAACTCCGTGCGGCGGCTCAGACGGCATCGAAGCGAACTTCATTTCAAACACGTTCTAATATTCACCACAAAAAGACAATAAAATATTCAAAATAATTTTAAAAATATTTTTGTCACCAAAGCATGAAACAGACCACTCATTAACACTAAGAGAGACTGCGATTAATAAAGCGTTTCTATTCCTCCGCTGATTCATTGGAATGACATTTAGAGACATTCAATGCATTCCAGTAGAGGCTCACTAACCCTAACCCCAGACATAACAATGCATACAATACCTGTAGTTTTCTGGCCATTCCGGGCACTTCATGATCCGGAGGGTTATATTTGTAACAATTGGTAAATATTAAGCGCACATCAGATGCAAACTCTTCGGGCTTTCGGTACTGTCTGTTCTCCATCTTTACCTATCATTCAAACAAAATCAAATCAATTTGTACTACAAAAACTCAAACTAATCAAAGAGGGTATACTTCAACGGTTCCCAAATCCATAGGGTTTTTGATAATCTCGTGGTAGTCATGGAGTTGTAGGAGCTCTGCGTCGACGGGCTTATAGAAAGGCCAGGCATAGCCCGCATGCTTTTTGGCGAACAACTCCTTCAATATCTGACTGCAATACTTCATCTGTTCAGACATTTTGCCCTTTT